CAAGATAGCTGGAGGAATAACGCTGGCATAACACTTGCACAGAGGAATATCAGAAATTCTGTAGTCCAAGCTTTGAACTGACAAACCATGTAATTTACAAATAAAAGTGGGGGGAGGGGGTGAGGAGGAGGAGGAAGAGAGGAATGGGGTTGAGGCTGCGGATTTAAATAATCTGTATCAAAAATATAGTTACACCATCTCTCCATGACGCGTCACATTGTCAGGAGAGACTCCAGCTAAAAAGGGAAGAGAAATTCTATTCTATTTCAAATATGAAATCCTGCATCATTGACAATATGAATAATAAAACAGTATTTGAATGTTTTAATCTAATACCAAGCAAATTAATATTTTAACCAATGGGTTAACCAGCAATTGAGTGGAAAAAAAAATCTCAGCTCTACAAAATTAAATTATGAGGTAAAATTCTTTTTTGACCTTTCTACCTGTCCTTAACTGTCAGTAAGGCATAAATTTTGTGTTGTGATTAAGATTTGCCCACTTTTTATTTCCTTCTTTGCAATCCTAGATACAAAAAAAAAACCTGCTTAAAATACAATAGTCATAGAGATGGAACTTATAATTTTAGTGGTAGAAATTAAGGTAGCCTGTACATTTTTCAGGAAGAAAGTAGAGATTTCTCTCCATGCCACTCAAACTAGCTTTCCCTTGGCATGAAGCCTGGTGCTCACCATGTCAACAGAGCACTGGGAACCAGCACTAACTTGACTTCAGCCAATTTCCAGACAAAACACCTATCATTATAGGTGGTAAGGTTCAGTGATTTTGAAACATATGTCTTTAAGCCTAAAGATCCAATTCTTCAGATGTGACATGTAGAGAAGGGGCTTCCAAAGAAGGGTCTTCCAGTGGTGGCTACTGCAGTATTCTGATTCTGAGTAAATCTAATAATACAGCCAAAAAGCAACATGCTGCTAGATGCATGTCGCTAAGTGTGAAAGCAAGATGTAGGTACTAGGGAGTGGAAAGGTACTATTCTGTTTCTTTAACTGAGGAAAGGAATCTAACAGTCTAACTCCCCAGTGAGCAAGGCTTATTTGATTCTAGTGGAAACAACTGAAATTTCAGCATCAGCAGAGGTACTGTTTTTCTTTCAGAATTGCTGAGAATATCTAGCAATGAATAACTCTTAATCAGATTGTTTATTCACATTAAAAGTCAGCGCAGGTCACATTGTTTGCTCGGTGCCATTTGGTCTGCACTTAGCCCTTCCTGAACAGGAAGTCCTTAAGATTAAAGATTGTATTTTTATGGTCCCATGCCTGCTTACCCCTAGCTATTACCTGAACAGCAATGCAACCAGGACTCAGTCTCTAGCAAGGATATTAACAACCATTAGTGTGTGTGTATGTCAGGATGAAAAATAGGAGGAAATCAAAGCAAAGCAATATGGTGAAAGCAAAATTGTAAGAAACAGCAAAGTGATTGTTCACAATATTGGGAATAAAGTGCATTCAGAGGTATTTTCTCTCCAGAGGTCAACAGAGTGCTAGGTCACTAGAATTTATTTAAATTCAAGCAGCAAATGTGATTTAAATGTCCCAAAGCTATTTGCCACTGGACATATATTTATGTCCGTTTTATAAGCTATAAGGGATCTAACTAAGATGCTTGTAGTTCAGATAAGCTGCACTTTTTCCTCAGTGTTGCAGAAACCTTGTAGTGGCACAAGAATGAAAAAGAGAACTAATCAGAGTGAAAGATATGTCTAGAAAACCATTCTGGCAGCTCTATTATTATATGGAGATTCATATTTTGATTTCATATTTCTCTTTCTATAGCTTACTCAAAGACTTAAATAGTTAACATCTTCAATGTATTGGCATTTGAAATTAAAACAGCTACATACTGTTTCAGTTTTGTCACGAAATCAAAAAGATCTTTCTGAAGATTGATACTGTGGCCAGTATTTGCACAAGAAAACTGAACTTGAATACCTATGTTCTGTATTGAATATGTGTATCAGGTGTCATTAACACACTGTTTGAATCAATGCAACAGCATGAGATGCATAAATGGAACTGCAGGCTGGATACTTAGCTCATCCAATGTCCAGTGCATGCAGTATGTGAGACAGAGGTTACTGCCAGGTGGACAGTTATAGCTCCTGATCTCTCAGCACACTGGCTGCAAAAGAAGTCTGAGGCTGCAAACCCGCCTATACCAGCCCTGTGCATTGGCAGATCCTGATAGCAATTGCTATCAGGAGTAGATACATGAACACAGTTCTGTTAAATTAGCTAGCATATGTTTATACAGGGCTTTATTATGCCAGATTTGCAGTGACTGTGGGAGGACAGCCAATATTCAATCCAGAATAAAGCTACATTGTAATTCAACTATCATTTTCAGCCAGCATTTCCACCAAATTAAGTAGTTCCCACTTCCCATCACTGCAGTCACCACTTTTCACTCCCACAGTTTTATTCCTTGTGGCAACACCATGTTTATTCAGACAGCCATTAAGTCCTAGGCTAAATTAACTTTTTCTTTCTTTCTTTCTTTCTTTCAACTGTACTGGTTTTCACATAGGTGAAGAGAGGGTGTAAAGAAGGGGACGAGCAGGTGGAGAGTGCAGGTCTAACTGCATGAATTTAGAGCAACCCTGTTTGAGTGGTGCAGGCAGACAATCCACCTAACATGAAACCTGCTGGTATGGAGATAAACTATTGATGAGAGATGTATTTTATTTGTTGTAAAACTCTGCACGGTGGAAAAATTCTCTGCTAAGATGATCAGGTGGTTTTCTGTTTCCCAGTGCTTTTGGAATAATGCAAATTATAAGAAATAGATGGATTTAGTACTGTGGTATTCAATTTTACAGGCACGTTTCAAAATAATTTCTGTCACAGTCCGCAAGTCATCTGCTAGAAGACAGAACAATGCCTTGATGAGTACTGGAATCTCATATTTATATATTAAGGCAGTTAGGAGCTAGAGTAGGAACAAGAAGTCTGGAGGCAGGGCTAAAAACCTCAGTCTTCCCCAGAGAAGACATCATGCTAGGAGTATGTATCATTCATTATACAAGAATAATCTCCAGCTCCAGTAGATACACAGAAACATTATAGACCAAGATAGAAGAATCCTGTCTTCCTTTAAACTTCTTGCAAATGTTCAGCTCAAAATAATAGTTTGTTCTTAAGTAGTGGTAAAGGTTTAAATTCTACAGATATTTATTTGCACTTAAGCACCTCAGACTCCCTCTTCTATCAGATGTTTGCAAAGTAATGGCTTCACTAAACCAATGGGTGAGATGAGACTTTAATAAATTAAGTCTAAAATAAAAGGGTTATTTAACTGCATAAGTTGTTTATGGGAGTAAAAGGTTTTAATCAAACTTGCCATCAACATTTTCAAAAGGAAACCCCAGTTGTGGTTTGGTCAAATTCTTTGAAGTATTAATGTAACCCTGAGAAAATGGCTATTAGTCTTAACCAATTGCTGGACATTAGACACAACAAAAACAGGAAAAGTTCAAGAGTCTCTTTGACTTTCCGCTTGATTGTAAAAAAAATACTCACTTTCTGGGTTTTCTTTTTTGAAGTGGAATTTTATACAGCAGGGCCAGGCTTTGTTTTGTTGGGCTTTTTTTTTTTTTCTTTCTTGATACACAAAATTCCCACCAACCTGTGCTCTTTCTTTCAGATCTAACATGAAAGACTGCTGTTTGTATTTAATGCACACACTGCCAATTCTGTTTAATTTAAAGACACAGCTCCACTGTACCTGAAAGAAAGACCTGGAACATCAGTGCATGGGTCAAAAGCAAATCTCACTGGTAACTACAAGATGCTGTCAAATACCATGGCAATTAAATATTGTATACCTACCTAGAAAGAGAAAACTACCAGAAGTTCCTACCACAAACATTCGTAAAGTGCAGTACATTGCTGAACTGCCAGCACTTAGATGATGCTTAAATAAGGAGCACTCAGATAGCCTTTTCCACTATTGCCATGGAAAAAAAAATGAATATAATATTTTCCCGTAGATCTAGAAATGCTAGGGGGTAATCCACTAATGTTAGTAAACTTGAACAGCAAAACAGAGAAAAAGAGAGAGGTGCATTAGCACCAGGATATTCCACACTGGGGTAGTCTGACTAAGAAAAAGCATCCCATAAAGCAGACACACACTTCACACAGTATTAATATACTTGAGGAGTGCTCTTTTATGAGTGCTTTAATAGCTTGGGATTATGTGTGTTGTTTTAGAGTTGCATTAGACACACCCTGGGGAAATGTGAGCTTCCATTCCTGCCCATTTCAGTGCTGCGCTAGCTTGACCAACATAATTTACCACATTAAGAGAGGATTTAAATCTTGATTATTTTCACCTGTTCACTTTCGATCTTTTTTTTTCCTTTCACCTAAGAGGCCTGCCCTTTTAGCATTATACAGTTCATAAAACTGATGACCTTTGCCTGGCTTTTTGATTTAAGCAGAAAGGGGGGCACATGCACTGTTAAGAGCCTAAAAAACATAAAGCAAAACTGCTGCCCATTCTTTTTGAGGTGAAAGGGATGATAAAAGCTCTTTCTTTTCCATTCTTGTTGTAAGGGTGGCACAACTGCTCCCTGTGCTTTCCTGCACCATCCAGCTGCCTACTCCAACCCTGGGAGTCGTGAGGAAGCAGGACTCTGCGTGGTCATACCAGCCTGTTGCACATATATCCAACATCTTGCTGGTTTAGGGGTTCGTACTGATTTTGTGCTGCCCTGCATATACAGAAATCTCAGTTGCTCCTCTGTTTTATGTCCAGAGACAGAAGGAAGGAAGAAGAAAAACTCCCAAACATCTGTTCTACATTTTTATTCCTAAACAAAACAATCCTTAAATTTTCAAGAATAGTTAAAGCTTCAGATGGTTATTTGGAAGAGAAAGTTGATCACCACATGCCAAAGAGATAACCCAAAATCCCTTTGCTGCATGGAAAAACTCTGTTGTTCAATTCTGGGAGTAGTGCAATGCACTTACCTGATAAGATCTGGATTCCTAACCTCATAGCCTACCGAAAAGTGATACATCACTTCATACATATTTTCTGTGGCAGGGAAAAAAAAAAAAAAATGGTGTGGAAAGACTGAGTGGACATGGGAAAAAGACAGAAAAGTGAAAGAAGATAAAATAATAAAAATGTGTCCAATTAAATGAAAGTCCTTCTGCTTTCACTTCTTTACCTTAGAAAATTGATCACATTTTCCCCTCTTAACATTTTTTATTCCAAATTCTATATAAAGCCATATACAAAAATTGGAAAAAAAAAATCCAAACAACCATTCTCGCTTTCTCACATCATCACTACAAAATACACTTTCAAAGGACTAAAGAACTTTTGAAGGTTAATTAAAATGAAATTTTCAGGTTTACTGTTCATCACCTGACACCTAGCAGAGGTTTGGTTAAATTCAGTTAAAATCAGATCAGGTAGAAATAAACAGGGAAGGAGGTTTTGACAGTCCAAAAGACAGAGGACTTGTGGAGAAGGTGAAGGTCAGTGTTCAGAAGAGAGGAGGGATGGTAATATGAGAGCACAGTAAAGGACAGGATAAATGGTCCTGCTGCCGTAAGGCTGATAATGATGTAGTTAGTAGAAATGGGGAGAGGATATTTAACAATCAGCATAAATGAATAGATTTTGGAGGGTAATCAAGAATGCAATTGAACTGGGAGAAGTACAGGAGGAAGAGAGAAGCTCTTGAGGTTTTGGAGATTTATTTGAACTGAAAATTCACTTGATTTCCATCTCAAAAGAGAAATATAGCTTAATAATTCAAAATACGCCTCTTCTTTAATATTGCAGAATACATTGATAAATGTTATTACACAAACTTCTCCTTAAACGATTGTCTCAAGATATCTTTAATGTAGTTCACAATATTAAATTACCTATATTAAGTGATAACATCCCCAGCTCAGGCCTGCAGCAACATAGAGTGGTACTCTTCCATTTGAGATCCACTGAACCTCTGCAAATCAGAACCTATAAAACAATCAAGTAATACAAGAGATTTTCTGTATCCTTCTTTTAGTTTTTTATTTTAGCTAAAATATGTCAGATGTGAAATACCGATATCAAGCCGATTTTCTTTTTAACCTCTGAAGAGTTGACTTGACTAGATGTGTAATACAAGTTTAATTGAACATGATATTGGATTCTTTCCATGCCCAGCACTTCCTTTTCCTTCTAATGATCTGCTTTTTTTCATAACTGTTCCCATTTCCTCTTGATGTCATTGCCACTGATGTTATTCTCTCAAGCAAACATCTACTATTTCAGATCTCCCAGATGCCTTTGCTATTGTTTTCCTCCCCCCTGTATTGCTGTCCTTATGAATCTTATGACCTTATTCCTGTGCAACTGCTAACCTTTTCTTTTGGCAACCATTTCCAGGAACATGAAGGTACTGAACTGACCAGCAAGGAGGTAAATGTCTTAACTCTGATTACTGACAGCTAGTGTCTGAACTATAGGATTTTTATGGTAACAGTGAGGGGAGAGCAAATACAGTAAACAAAGCTTAATGATAAATGACAATGTGTTAGTCTGTAGAGACCTGTCCAGTGGCTTACAGCAGGGATCACTGTTCCATTGAGTTTTATTTAAGGTTTTAAATTATGAGCTGGAAGATAGCATGCTTAATTCAGCTCACAGGTATAGCATAAAGGCAGTCTAAGAACTATTAGACTAGAATAGGATCAAGGTATACCAAATTCTGACATCAGTGCAGCAGGATGAGAATATGGAGAGAGAGTGGAGACAGAAAAGACAAATAAGTAAGATTTTTTTTTTTTTTTTAAAGGCAGAGAACAGATTTTCTCTGAAACATCTTCTTATGGAATTTCCTACAAGTGATAAAGGGCAAACAAAGTGCAAAAAACCCCTTCTCTGTTCTGTCCCATCCACATCCTTGCTGTGTGGTTTTGAACAAGCCATTTCATTTCTGTGGTCCAGAATCCCTTCAATACTACTATGATTCTTCCCCTGGTTAGGAACCATATCAGTGAACTCAATCTATTCTATGATGGCACAGAAACAAAGCAGGATCTACAAAATTAGAGTCTTCAGAAAGACCAAGTTATGCACTCTTCTCTAGAAGGCTAAAACAACATTTGCTCTACAAAAGGTTTGACTAAATGTAAAAGTGCACGCATAGAATATCATCTACCCATAACTGCCCTCTACCTTGCAAAAACAAATGAAAAGTTAGATTGGTTCCTTCAGTATGCAAGGACTTTTGACAGCCCCCAAAGTCATGGACTATTTAAAAATATTTGAAGTCTATATTCTACAGTCTATATTGGAGTACAGGGTACCACATACATACCAAAGGGAAGTTGTTAGTGAACAGAAAGAATCTGTGTCAAAGTACCTACCTACAGTGAAGCTCAGAGATTATGTCAAAATTCATGCAGGCTTACCTGAAACATTTCTATCCAAGCTAGGCTGATGATTAATAAAGATGGACTGACATCAGTATGGTTCCCAGGTTGGCACAGCATCCTGCGTGAGTTTTGCAGATGCTGCCAAAACCCAGGCTTAGCAGCTGCAGAACTTAAATTTTGACATGCAGGTTTCTATGACTTGCAATCACACCTCTGAGTTTCAAGATGGGTACAACTGTTTGTGTAAGTGTTTATTAGAGAGATGAAAAGTGAACAAAAGTTGTAAAAAGTCCACAGTCAGGACAAATAACAGAAACTCAGTCTGGTGAAAACAACATCTCTTCAGTAGAAACGTATGAGAACAGTAATTTCAGCAATTTTGTGGGTAATGAGGCTTTTTCTTCCTGTCCTGCTGTCATGGTTGCATGCTTGCACATTCATTAGCTTGTCCTTTGCTAAAAATCACTGGCAAAAGACAGAAAATACTCCTCCATCTCCACAGGACCTTCCCTCTTTCTCAGCTCACTTCCTCCCCTCACAGAAAAAAAAGACCCCGAGGCTAACCTTGAAGTCACTGAAGTCTAATAAGAGGTAAAGAAAAATAAAATCAGTATTTATTGTGATACTACCCACTTTAATATTCTGAAGTTGTTCTATAACAAGTGAACAATTTTCTTTCAGTAGTTGGTTCATTTAACTTAAGAAAAGTTAGGAAAATATTTTTGGTAATTATTGCTCAGGCATTCTGCCAAGTTCATCTGCAGAAGCAAAACCAGCTGCATATCAGGCACTACACAGACTCATAGAATCATAGAATAGTTAGGGTTGGAAAAGACCTTGAGATCATTTAGTTCCAACCCCCCTGCCATGGGCAGAGACATCTCACGAAGCTATGTTATTTATTTTGCCTCATTTTAAAGTTGTTTAAAAAGCACCCAAGAAGGCAGACCTTGAGAAGGAGAAAAGTAGTTTTCACTGGGAAAAGAAATTGTAGAACAGAGTAAAAAATAGAGGGAAGGAAGTGTGAAGGCTTTGAAGTTGAGCCTCAACTCAGCCAAAACTCTGATTTATACACACAGTCTTTCTTATTCGTTCCCACAATAAATCACTATTGCAGGAGAGGTTCTGGTGTCTAATGCCATGGAATTCTCATGATATTTTGCTTTTGTACAAGGTAAGCCTCCCTTCTACCTTTTTCCCCTCCAAAATCCCACATATTTGAATTATATGCAAAGTTTGCAGGCACAAAATAGACTTAACAAATTCACCCAGAAATATCTCTGCAGAGCGATCTCATTCTGAGTGTTAGCTCCAGATTGTTTTCTATTTTGTTTGCTGAATCAGATCCTTAATTACTGCAAAATTGGCATATTTCAATTGTATTTTCAGGTCTAATTTATCAAGTCAATATAGAAAAATAGGCAAGTATCTATGTTGATAGTAGGAATGTTGAGGGGGAGAGTGAAAGCAGTAACTGTAGTTTTACAAATATGAAGTCTAACACAAATGTTCCATGTTTAGAAATGATAAGTATCTCCTGCATTCACTGACATCACTGTAAATTTCTCCACATCACCAAAAATCAGTCAACCAGAGCAGAGTTAATTCAGTAAATAAATTACCACTGTCATATATGTAACCTGAAAAAATGCTGTAATTCAGAACTGAGGCCTGAGGGTACACAGAACTATTACAGTCTTGCTGGTACAGTATTTGATTTTGCTAAACTTTATGTAGCACCCATTACAGGTATTCACTGTCTATAGTGGGTTAGTTCATTTACCTGGGAATTAATGTGCTGGGAGATGATTATGCAACAACAAACTATGTGAAGCCAGTGGTGCTTTTGAAGAATCTGAGTGAGACTGTGGAGAAAAGTATAATGGTGTCAAACGTTAAAGCTTATTAATGCAACAGTCATAACATCTCTGCTTTGCATGTTGAGTATCTGGATTGCATACAAGGTCACTGCACTGGTTTTGGCTGGGATGGAGCTAATTATCTTCATAGTAGCTGGTATGGGGCTATGTTTCATATTTGTGCTGGAAACACAGGGTTCAGCTCTTGCTGAGGAGGGCTTGAACAGAGTCAAGGCCTTTTCTGCCCCTCACCCCATCAGTGAGCAGGCTGGGGGTGCACAGGAGATTGGGAGGGGACAGAGCCAGAACAATTGACCCCAGCTGACCCAAGGGATATTCCAAACTCTATGACATTATGCTCAGTAATAAAACTGGGGGGAAGCTTGGGAAGGGTGAAGGTACATCTCCTGGGCTGTGTGGGCATCAGTCAGCTGGGGGTGAGCAATTTTTTTCTTTTGCATCACTTGTCTTTCATTGGTTTTATTTTTCTCTCTTTTTCCTCTTTTTCCCTAGTATTCTTATTATTGTTGTTGATATTAATAATTATTATTATTTCTTTTTCATTATTAAACTGTTTTCATCTTCACCCACAGGTGTTCTCTCTTTTACTCTTTCAATTCTCTCCCCCATCCCACTGAGGGGGGGAGTGACTGAGGATTTGTGTGGTGCTTAGCTGCCAGCTGGGGTTAAACCAGGACAGCCATGTTCAGAACCATGTTAGGAAACTCAGCTTGTGTCATCTAAACTGTCACAGAAAGGTAATGGAAATGTACAGGAGCCATTATACATGAGACATAAGACACTAGACACTGAAATCCTAAAATCAAGAAATTAACCAGGCAGTCAGGCAAGGATAGAAACAAAACAATGTGGCTACTCAGTCCAGTGCCTAATGTTAGACAAATAGCCTAGGAAAGCAACCTTTCATTAATCAAAAATTTACAATGCTCATTGTCAGCCTAGGAGTCAATGATAGCCAAAAGTCAGTTAAAAAAAAAAGAGGAACTTCTACTAGCACAAAGAAACATTTTGCTTCTGACAGAAAAAACAATGGGAGAAGATGGTTTACGATACTTTACTTACACTTGAAATAACTTTCATCTAACTACCTTAATAAGCGAGACTCCGAAGGCAGTGTAGGACAATATGATGTTCTATCAATTTGACATTTGTTTTTCTAATTGCGGAAGAACAGTGCAAGAAAAAAAAATGCAAGTACAGTTGAACATATATATATGTATATTTTTATATGTGCTTAGGTGTGTATATGCACAAACATTGCTGATGAGGAGGATTTAAAATCATTCCACAAACTGGAACAGAAATGCAGTACTTCATTTTGCTTCTGAGCCTTTCCTCCAATGGCATTACACTTTCACAGGTGTGCACGCTTAGGTGTATTCTACTGTACAGACCCCTAGTATAAGTAGAGTGACAAGGAAAGGCATCATCAGGAGCCACAGCCACTACATACCGAGACACTTGATGACCTCCCTAGCTGCAGCCTAGGACAGAGCACAGACTGTACCTTCTTCCTCCCCATGTCATTCACACAGGTCACTGAGCAGGGATGGACTTCTGCACCAGATGTTGCTCTACTGTAACCTAGCTCAGTTCAAATCCTGTTGTTGCCTTTCTCGTTGCTGCAGCAGTAATGGGGAAACAAAGAATTTGTTTCAGATACCTTCTCTTACCTGAATTAATGGATTGTCATAGATTTCCAAACCCTATGTAAACTGAACAAAAATCTGCACCATTGTAGAATCAGTCCTAGCTCTCACAAGCTACTGTTAGTATACAGGAAAATTTAGTCCAGAATCACATTATTGCAGTCATTTCCGGGTAGAGAGGGTCATCACTCAGGATCCTGCTCCTGTTCACTGGAGAAGACACTTTCATTTTGATCCCAGAATAGTCAAATTACAACAGTGTAAATTCATTGATAAATTTATCATATTATTGCAATTTAGGGTAGGTGAACCAGCTGAATCATAATAAATCATTGCATACTCCTATCTCAAAAAGATCTGACAAAACATGCTCACTTAATTTTTTTTAATCTGAACTTTAAAGGAATACATTCTTCTACTTTGCCTTGAAAGCCACATAAAT